GATCCCTCTCATTGGGTAGAATTTTCTTCAAAACATCTTTTTCTTCAAACCTTCATCTTTTCTTCAAAACAACATCTCTTTCTTGAAACCTTTGAGGCCTGACCTCCCTATTTTATGTTGTAGCCATTCTGATAAGGCTGCAATTTAGGTTCTTCTTTTCTCAACATGTTGGCCAATTCAGGAAAAGGTTCTAATTCTTTATCATCTTCCATAGAATAAATCAGTTCATCAAAACTATGTGTAAGTTCAAGAATGATATCACTATTTGTGGATTTATTATCAGCAAACCTGGAGATGGAAATTTTGGCTAGCATGAGAAATTTGAATAAAAGAAAATGAACAATCTTGCATATGAAGAGAAGCAATGAAAATGAAAGTAACATCATTGATTGAAATGGACTGAATGGAACATTATTTGTCATGCCTACAATGCTTCATAAAATATAAAAGGCTTGTTTTAACCATCTCTTCTCATGGTCACAAGCTCAACCACAAGAATGACACATCTTACGATTTAATGACAGGAACAGGAAGAATCTTTACTGTCTTGTTGTCATCACCCCTTCCTTCATCAATGACACATATGCTCAACTTCTCAAAAGAAGTGCTCAAACCATCATTATTTGTTGACGTAGTCACCTCATAACCTTTATCAGAATCTTTCTCGATCATATTAACCGTTGGACCATCATGTGTGGGTAAAGGGTTTTTAGTGATATTTGGACCAACAACCTCAGGATCTGATGTAATTTGTAACTCCTTTGCATCTATCAGATCTTGGACACGGTGCTTTAAAGCAAGACAATTTTCAAGATCATACCCAACACCCCCACTATGGTATTCACATCTTGCTTGTGGGTTATACCATATTGGAAATGGTGGATTTAATGGCACCATAGGTACAGGGGTAACAAGCCTAGCTGCTATCAACTGTCGAAACACTTCAGTATATGACATTGGAAGTTTATCAAAATAGCGTCTCTTTTTCTCTTGTTGTGGACGACTTGTCCCAGAGGCATAAATGGGCCTTGATTGACTTGTGAAAGTCGTTGATTGATAAGTTGGAGCTTGGAACCGATTGTTGAACTGCCCCTGTGACTGATTATAAACTGAGCTTATAATGCCATTCCCATTCTCCTCCTTTCGATTTTGACCAACTTTCCTTGAACTAGAAGCCCCTGAACTACCGTTTTGGTATTGCTCAAAGATACTCTTCATTGCTTGAAAATCCATGATAATTCCAGACTTGATTCCATCCTCCACTTGTTCTCCCACAACAACCAACTGAGCAAAAGTGTAATTCACACAAGTTATTAATTTCTCACGATAAGGCCCTTTGGTTGACTTGATGAATAAATTACTCAATTCATGGTCAGATAGTGGAGGTTGAACTCGAGCAGCCAATCCACGCCATCTCTGTGCAAATTCCTTAAAGCTTTCACTTGGTTTCTTGTCTGTCTTTTGAAGATCTTCTCTACTAGGAGCTAGTGATGTATTGTATTCATATTGCTTCATAAAATTGTAAGTCAAATCATGCCAACTTTGGACTTTACTTTTGTCTAAAGTAGAGAACCAAGCATCTGCAGGACTTGTCAGACTGTCCTGAAAGTAATGTATCATTAGCTTCTCATCATTGGCATAAGGAGCCATCTTCCTACAATACATTGTCAAGTGGGCATAAGGACAACCAGTGCCATTGTACTTATCAAACTCCGGCAATTTAAACTTATGGGGCAGCTGAATTTTTGGGAAAAAGCACAAAGATGAGATGTCAACCGGTTTATTGGTTTGGACACCTTGCATCGATTTTAGTGTTTCCTCCATCAACTGCACCTTCGCTTTA